CGTGCGGGGGCCAGGCCGGGGGTGTTAGTGCCTTGCTCAGCGGCCTTTCCCTGCGTTAGCGGAGTTACAGTGTGCTCATGTTTTCATCAGAGAATCAAAACGACTGCAGGATAAATGATGCGACTGTTAGTGTGACTGTTCTGCTGGACGCTCAGAGGCCTTTCATCGCGTCACAGCGGAAAACACGACGGTCAGCATCAGTGTCCCCACAGAAGAACCGCGTCACGAACACAGATTAATAAACAGGTTTACTGTGATATCAGGACAGTCTCGGGATTCATTTCTGGAAGATGAATAATTCACAGAGATGGAAAAACAGAGTTTACAGCTCAGCTGATGTAACAGCGTCGCTGTTATTAACTGGGCTGTGTCACGTGACCTTTCAACGAGCAATAATCTCTTTAAAGTGCGAAGATCGATAAGAGTCATCGCTGTTTGTTTGTCCTTTAAATCCTTCTAAACAACATCAAGTTATTGTGAACTGAGCTCTTCTCCAAACGCAGTTCCCAGTTTGTCCACCTTACCTTAATAAAGATCATTTATTAACACCTAAAACCAGGTTTATGGCACTGAATTAAAACTGAATGTGAAAAAACCTGAAACGATGTCCTGCAAATGTGATGCGAACGTTTCTGTATCACTGTGAACCGAAGAGATCTTTAAATATGACACCAACCATTAACACAACCAGTCCCACAAAATGACATTTAAAATATAAATCTATAAGAAGCTGTTAGTTTGTGTTACTGGACACTGAATGTGAGACATTTTCACTATCACACTGTTAAAATGTTCAAACTCTAAACAATAAAACATTAAAATCGCTTTAGATTTTCTTCTGCTCTGCTTCCTGTTTCCTGTCTCTGTGTCTTCAGCGCCTGGCTTTGCTTCTCTCTCCTTGTTTCGTGGACTTCCTGTTTTCTTGCTGAACTCTTCTCCACGTCCTGCTTGTTGTTCTTCCTCCCGCTGAACGTCTGAACTCTGAAACTCTTTAATCTGAAGTTTTCTGCCTTCATGTGGTCACAGCTTCTTTTTCATCCGCTCACAGTTTGCTTGTTGAGGCTGATTCTTCATTAACAGCTGTTACTGATGAGACAGGCGATGAGTTCTGGATCAGAGGGTCACATAAACTCTAACGTGGTTCCCACGGCTTTGTTTTCATCAGATACAAATACATGCTTTTGTATTTAATTGAAGCTTTTGACAGTATGGAGCAAATACAGCCGGATAGAAAGCGACGAGTCTTTACTGTTGAGCTTTCTAAAGGTTTTATCCTCATCGATTAAACAAAAGGAAGTTCATGATCTTTGATCCTGAAGATGCTTCAAGTGAATAAAAGTTAAAGGCTTCACGACTGGGCTGAGAAACATCGTGCCGTCGTCTCTGCACATCTTTCTTGATGTGTGGGTTCAAACGTGGAAGCAGCTCTCTGTGAATAAATGATGTTCTTAGATAACAGAAATAGTCTGCGAGGATAAACGAGGCTCCTTCTACACTCGGTGAAGATGTAGGCTCTTCTGTCCTCCATCTCTCATTATATTATCCACCTTTTCCTTTTGTTAGCTTGAAGCTCCAGTGAAGACGCCGGTGTGTTTAGTTTGATACGGCCGTCGCTGCAGAGACCACAGCTAAAATATTTCAAGAACCTAAAGTGGGACAGAAAAACAGGAATAATGATTTGGACCTTGGGGCTCTAGAGCAAAGAAACTAAACCCAGCTGTGGCCCCACTGACCTTCGTTAACGATCAGAGTTTTTCTACTTTTTGTATTTTATTTTAGTTTGTTTGTTTATTTGATTCATTTTTGTTTTCTTTTCATTTCAGTTTAGTCTCAGGTGTTTTCCAGAGTGACTTCTTTTGTTTCACTTTCATTTTTTATTGCTTTCACTGTTACTGTGACTCAAACTGGCAGCAGACAAACTGAATCCAGGCCGTCTGTTTATGTAGCGAAGCATGTAGCGGTGTGAACGTGTCAGTGATGGAGGCTGTTTAATGTATGCAGTGTGTTAAAAAGTGTGCAAAAACCTAAATAACCCAACAGACCAGTGGAAGCTGCCCAGAGAGGCTGAACGGCTTTATACTCTTCACCACATCCACCCTTCAGGTGCAGCCACTCACTGCTTCACCCAGGTAGAAGCAGGAAGCACAGAGGGCGCTAGGCTAGGTTAAATTAAGCTAGGTTTAGTGCTTTATGATAACTTTGGAGCTAATTATGATGAAGGAATTCAGCGCTGGTATTACAGCACGGACACTGAACTCATTAAACCACTAACTTCAATTCAC